ACAGGTGATCACTGACGAGTGATTGCTAGGGGGTCTTGGCACATTAAACCGGTACAGGTATTAAACCCCCGAAACCGGTGTGCCAAGTCATCAGAGGCACATATTAGGTGCGATGGGTGCGGGATCGCACAATTTACCGTTTTCCGCACATTTCCGCATAATTTATTGTTTTCCGCACATTTCCGAACGTTTTGTAATTTTCTGCATATTTCCGCATAATCTAGCATTTTCCGCGATATTTATAATTTTGAAATTTTCGCGTTAAGATTTTCGAGTGTAAAAACCAAAATATTTTAAAAGTCGGGCTCTTTTAGGACCGTGACTCAGGCCCTTTCGGGACCCTGACCCTTTCGGGACCGTGACCCAGGCCCTTTTGGAACTCATACCTAGGCCACGTGACCCAGTTACCACGTGACCCAGGCCCTTTCGGGACCCTGACCCAGGCCCTTTCGGGACCCTGACCCAGGCCCTTTCGGGACCCTGACCCAGGCCCTTTCGGGACCGTGACCCAGGCCCTTTTGGAACTCATACCTAGGCCACGTGACCCAATTACCACGTGACCCAGGCCCTTTCGGGACCCTGACCCAGGCCCTTTTGGGACCCTGACCCAGGCCCTTTCGGGACCCTGACCCAGGCCCTTTCGGGACCCTGACCCAGGCCCTTTCGGGACCCTGACCCAGGCCCTTTTGGAACTCATGCCTAGGCCACGTGACCCGGTTACCGCGTGACCCAGGCCTTTTCGGGACCGTGACCCAGGCCCTTTCGGGACCGTTACCCAGGCCCTTTCGGGACCGTGACCCAGGCCCTTTCGGGACCGTGACCCAGGCCCTTTCGGGACCGTGACCCAGGCCCTTTCGGGACCGTGACCCAGGCCCTTTCGGGACCGTGACCCAGGCCCTTTCGGGACCGTGACCCAGGCCGTTATGGAACCCTCGTCGTTACCGTACTTCGATTATAGTGTATCAGTTATCATTCGTAACTTCACCACATCATCTGCTTACTCTATATCACATCACAACGTCATGGACCGTTTCCTAAAGAAACGAACAGCTACAGACAGTGACCGGCTGCACGACGGCCAGGCCCCCTCATTATTCGGGGTCCCACGGAGATCAGATCGTGTCACCAATTAGTGACGTATGATTAGTGATGTGATCCATCAGTAGAATTTAATTGACCTAGAAATGGGCTAGATACAGAGTAGAGTTCACATGTCAACTCTGTTCACATAATATTATTTGTTAAATTGTGTTAATACTTTACCATACTACACGTAATAAAACAAATAAACCCTGTTTACAATGAGATAACATCACATGATCGAATCACGTGTTTTGATAACAAAGCTAGAGACTAAGGGGTATGGAGCACACTGCTTTTCATGTGTTTTATAGACTGACCATTAATTCTTTTACACAGATTGTAATTTGTACTACTAGTCTTAACTATAATTCTAAAGATTATCTTTTGTGGGGACCGAGGGCTCGTCGTCCGAGTATAAAGCTGACACTCCTGATCACTACGTTCATAGAAATATTTCCTTTACCCTCATGAGATGTTGTCTGTATATATTGTCTTAACAATTGATCAATGTTCTCATTGTTCCAAATCTCATGATTCAATTTCACTTAACAAATTAACTCCTAACTAACCTTATGCCTAACTTACCTTATGCCTAACACGCATTACACATTATTTTATTTCCTCATCTTTGCCTTTGTTGATTGTTCATCTTCTCGCACAATTCCTTAAGTGGGTGAGTCATCGTCATGTGAATGTTTGCATAATGATCATTATGATCATTATGAGCCTAACATATTTTTTCCGGTTCACTTGCTACACGTTGCGATCAAAAGGGTGTGTCAACGATTTACTTTACTGAAGCCCGCAATCGAAGCTTCCCCCTTGTAATGCGATCACTTATGTGATATACGAGTCAAGCGGTCAGATCTTAAAGATCATGTTTACTTCTTAATGCAATGCCATGATGTACAGAGTTGACATGTGAACTCTACCCTGTAGCTGTATCTAGCCCATTTCTAGGTCAGTTAAATTCTACTGATGGATCACATCACTAATTATACGTCACTAATTGGTGATATGATCTGATCTCCGTGGGACCCCTAATAATAAGGGGGCCTGGTCGTCGGCCTCTCCCGTGACCCATCATCAAGCTCACCACACAAGAAACAGAAGATACCTGCATGGGATCTGATCGACTCTATCAAGAGGCGTCTTCAAATAACTGTCTCCTGATCTCTACCAGATCAAGTCACTGTTCTCTGATAACTGAATCTCAATATTAGGTTCAATCATGGTCTTAGTAAAGAACTACACCTTCAGTAACACATAAACAGACCTATTTTTGATAAGAGCGGCGGTTATACGTTTAGAATTTCCAAAGTCCTTGAGAAAATGCAAAAGAAAACCGCACAATTCCCGCACAAATTTCGAAAAAATCGCCGCACATTTGCCGCATAATTGGTAAAAATTTACCGCACCTTACCGCACATTTAACCTTTATAGTCGGGTGTGGTGCCGCATAATTTCGATTTTTTTTACCGCACCTAATATGTGCCTCTGCAAGTCATCTGCTGATGATGTTCACATAACATTATTTCCTCTCTCCTTTATTCCTTCCGTCTTTTCTTAAACTTACAGTTCAGTTACTTTATTTCACCAGGTCTACCTAAGGATCAATTATTCTTTGGTGGGGTTTCACTTCTGGTATTGGCTTCATTCCCGTTCCTTTTCCTTATTCTTTATACTTATTTTTTATATAGTTTAATGAGATTGATCTAGAGAACTTGTTTAACTAAGTCACGTGATAGTCGTGTTTAGAGAGATTATTCATCATCCCTCGTGTCCATGTTCGTGAGTATCATGAAAATTGAAATCCGCCCTAGTATCCACTGTCCACGCTTTTAGTTTCACTTTTAGTTTTAGGAAAGTATTAATATTAACTGAGGACCACTGGCTTTTTCTGTTCATAAACCGATTGCAGATGCAGTGGAATGACAGGCTGAGCTTCACCCAGTATGAGTAAGAAAGTAGCAGTACCACTACCACCACCCCTGTGCCCTTCACCGTCATGTCCATTTTAATAACCGCGTTATAGAGGAGGAATATTGTATTTAAATTTAATTAAGGAAGTCTCTCCGCTTTTTTGCTATACAAATAATCTCGGGCTATAATTCTAATAACCAAGTTTGATGGAGTACATTCTAAGAATGTTACAGTAACATTCTTACATTTTTTGTACATTGTGCTATATCCAATGCGGATTGTGGTACAACTACCGGATAAAATATAACGTACTCTAGACTCCAAATCTATAAAGTGCAGTACGCAGTGAGTAACTGGGGCACCATGGGTAGTTAGCAGTAGCAAATGAGCGAATTCAGAATTAAAAATGAAGAATGTGACCCTAGCATCTCACTCTCAGGCCCTTTTGACAGAGTATTGTGACAGTGAGGTTGCACATGCTAAGCAGGAAGTCGTTGCGAATCGAGCTAACTTCGCCAACAACCAAGTAAACCATGAACACCTGCAGAAACTAAATGTTGTAGACCTTTTCTTGGACATGACGGATGATGAAGACCTTATTTTACGTAGGTAAATTTTGTTATCTGGTTTTATGTGGCACATTTAATAATTACATTGTCTTAATTACGTGTGATTAATGTTAATGGGACTGGTTAACCTCGCAGTTAACGCACAACACAGAGACCACATCTCTGAGAAGCTGGACCTTATCTTACCTCTACTGCAGTCACGTGATACCGAGACTCTTATCTCCACTCTTACTCTTCTCTACTATTTGCAGTTAGTCTAAAACATATATTTTAGTTTACTGTCTTTTGAACCACCGATGAAAATAATTAGAGAACGAGAGATGGACCACGACAATTTGAATGATCAGACAATAGTTGTAATGTAGTATTTACTATTGCTGACAATTTACTTATAAAGCACTGTATTCCAGTAACGAAGGGGTGACAGACAATGACTTGCGCAGAACGCTTCAACAACTTCACTCGGAGAGTGAGTGTAAGAGAACAAGTAACCTGCTTATCCTTCTCCTGAGAAATTCAACAACTTACAGTTCCAAAACATCTGTATCATGATCCACTATCCTGTATAATAGACAGTATGTTCAGGGGTTTTCAAAAATAACTGATTTTAGAGCACATGCCAGCAAAAGCTGCAGCTGGAAGGTTTAGCATCGTCAGACAAAATCAGTACTGTGTTCAAGTTAATTTCGAACAATAAACTATTTGAGTAGTAGAAGGACCGAAGGGGTAGGGCCAAAAATCAAGATATGAAATTTCCTATGCGCGTAAGTTCAAAACTATTAGTATTACCAAATATCTGAAGAGTAGGTTGACCGATGAAACTAAAATGTGGAATGTGGAAGCTCTCTGAAATGTTTTATTTGAGGATACGAACAGAAGTAGATTCACGTGTAGATTAGTAATAATACAATGAAAAGCAATCCTTCGACTATCATTTGAAGCTTAGATTTTTTGCTACCTTACCGGACCTAATTTGAACGGAAATTAATTGGACGCAAGCGTTAGAAGAAAGTCTGTCCGTTTACGGGTCCGTCCAAGTCAAAGTCCGTTGAAATGTTTTCCCAAAATAATTCCACAACGAAGTTATTGTCCAGGATATTAATACTGTTAGTTTTAATTTCGGATTTTAAATGGTTTTGGATGCCTTCGAGCGTTCACACACACACATACACGAGGGAGGGGGGGGGGGGTTGGGTCTTGATTACGGTTGATTACAGAGGAGGGAGGGAGTAAAAATTGCTTAAATATTGATTACGTAATATGTGAACGACCCCATATTAGGTACTCATTTATTCAAATTTCAAAGACTGATTATGCCTGTCAAACTGGCACTGAAATTTCCAAACGTATTTGTTGTAACTCTTACAGCGTTTAGAGTCTTTCTGTTTCATTTTTAGTGTATAAAGTCAATTTAAAACTGCATCATATGGTTGTAGTAAATCAATAATACATTTTTTACCATACATTTCATATTCCATGCTTGAAAAAAGTTGTTAACATATTTGTGACTGTATTACTTATTCTTAAGACATTTTAAAATTGTTCATTCTTTATAATTATAAGAGAGATTGTTTTTGTTTTATTATCAACTCAAACTTGGTTTAAACTTCAACACAGGGCTATTACTAATTCGCCCGCCTTAAAATTATTAACTAAAGAAAACATGAGACCCAGAGCTCTCGTTAGTGCAGAATACCAAAGTCAAAGAAACCATGAGACCCAGAGCTCGTTAGTGCAGCGTCCTGTGCACTTAAGTTTTTCTGATCGCTTGCAGTTGCACTTTCTGGGACAGTCCTTTTTCCCGTCCATCGCATCAACTTTTCGGGTTTGGTATAATTCACGACATTATCCAAAGTCCTATACCGACACATGTTCTTACATTTTTGCTGAGTGCAATCATCCTTAGTCATGTCCTTTTTACATGTACATGTGTTACAACCATCACTGTATTTGTCACCGGTGTAGGCTCGCTGAGTTTTACCTTCGTTGTCAATGAACTGACAACAAACAGTACCCTCGCTGCATACCACTTGTCCTGAGGAAAATTAGAACTTGTCAAATTTAAAAAAATAGATAATGAATATGTTGAAACTAAGACCGACAAATTATACAGAGGGTGGCCCGCCCAGAGCTAATATATATAATTATGTATATATATAATATAATTCATTTGACCAAAACCCATAATCATGGGTAGAGTGAACCGCTGCCAGTGTCTCTCTTTCCCAAACAAAAGGAAATGATATTAATTTGATTGACCGTTCTCAAATGCAAAATGATACCGAGAATGAAATCGGTCGCTCGCTTTTCCCATTAATAATCTTCCAGTCTATGCTATATTCAATCATCTTCTCCTTGAGGTTCCATATCAATTTTGATAACTCGGTACTCAGTCTGTACTTAGGATTCTTGAAACTTTGTCGATGATTGTACCACCGTGTCTTAAAACTGTTTTCAGTCAATTGGATTGACTGAAAACAGTTTTAAGACACGGTGGTACTAAATCGAAGAAATATAAGGCAGGAGCGGGGCATTGTGGCCTCTGCTTAGACGAGAAACTATACATACTTAAAAACCCAGGCACTATTAATAAAAGATCAGAAATTATTTCTAAATGTAGGCACTCTAGGAAATTCTTAGTTAGACATATTTAGTTAGTATTTATTAGTTATAAGCATTAGGAATTATAGTTATTTATATAGGTTTAGTAGTATTGAGTAATTGTTAATTGTTAATTATAAAATTTGATAAAGGAGCACTGTGTTGTATAATGTTTGCCATTTTTATGTTAATTATGTCACTGAAGATTGCTGTTCACACATCCATGAAACTTATAGGTTGACAACAACATCGTTTGCTTTGTACCGTTAATTATATACATATATAATATAATTCATTAACATAAAATTAACTACATAATATTTACCTTGATCCGCGGGTCCCAAGAAGCTGATATAGGGCTTGGTCGTGCATGTGCATTCCTCGCATCCTTTGTAGACCTTTGCTCCGATTTCGATCTTCTTATTTTCGTGTCGACAAAAGGTTATTTCAACTTTTTCTCTCTCTGGGGGTGAGCTGGAGGAGGAACTTGTACTGGTCGTGGGCGATTCGGCAAAACTTGCACTTATCAGGACAGCTCCAAGCAGAATGAACTGGAACATTGTATGGCTTGGAAATAATATTGTTATGATACCGTTGTGTAAATACGCAACTAGGAATTAGTTTAGTCAGATGAAAGAGATTTTATGGAAGTCAATAGATATTTTTTTTTCAAATGATAAACACTTTTTGTATAAAAGCTGGGCAAATATTCCATATTCGGAAGTTATCATAAAATGGATATAAAACAAACCATATTATCCTATTTATCCTTATCTTGCTAAAATATCCATTACCAATCTTTCAAAAATTATTTATCAAACGTCACACTCGTAAATCATAAGGGGCAAAATTTCTTTTTTCAATTGTCAAAACACTGTCACTGTGACTATTGGCACATAAAAGTAAAATTCATGATCGTGAAATCACACGTAAAATTTAAACTGCAAGTCAAATGTACGAGATATTGCACACTATACAGTTAAAACTTGAAAAGGAAATAAGAATGGTTACCAAGGACCACATAAAGTGCTTTTGGAACTTGGTTACAACAAGTTTTGATACGTATCTCAGTATCTGGGTAATCTGTCTCTCAAATAATTCACTGTCGTTAACTCGAATGTTTCTCTCGGTGGCTTTTATTCGTGTTTTCGTGAGTCGTGACCATACCTTTCACGCCTGGACATCTAAAGGTATGCTCATATTCATGTCTTGGTGTCTTGGTCTTTTTCGTTTCTTCCTGAGTTTGTTTCCTCTATCCTTGGACCTGCCAGATGGAATAAAATTGTCATGGTCTTGACATTTCTAATATCATGCTCATTAGAAAATGTCAGAATAATGCAGTTCAACCAATCATGGCTTATTAGAAACACTCAGGATATTTACCTTGGCTAGAAGCCATAGCATTGCTGGACATCAACTGTTTAGATCCCAATATCCGAGACAAGAGAAACTCTTTGAAGCTAGTAACTGTCAAGCTGTAGACGTAGAAGTTGCTCATAGTGTTGAAGTAGAGACAGGAAAGGGAGATCCTGAGGTATTCGTTGTGGAAGAAACTCTTTTTATCTGCCAATCTAGGGCCAACAAAAGAGTAGATGGCGTAAGGTAGGAGTGATAAGCAGTAGATGACTGCAATAAGGATGATAGTTATGATGCCTTGCCATTTGATAGTGTGCCTTCCTTGACTAGCGACTTTCTTTGCAATGATGAGCAAATTCACGGTAGAAGCGATAACTAGAAAATTTGGAATGACCATGAAGACCGTGGACAGCATTGGTCGTAGCCATTTCCAGATGACAGAGGAATAACCAAACTCACAGTTGTATGCTCTGTAATCGTAGATTTGATCACTTTTGTCTACCAAGAAGAAAGCAGCTGGAAGACTTAACACAGATATCCAAATAACTGCACAACCAATGTGAGCCTTTCTTGACTCCAGTCCCCTGGCTCTCAGAGGCGCACGTAGGATGACAAGCTTGCAAGTTGTCATAGAACATATAAGATACATTCCTACTACATTAAGGTAATACTTAATGTAGGGCTGAATGTAACAGAACCATTCACCCAGTAGTCAGTACCCAACTATCTGCTATCAAAGTGATAACTCGTGGCAATGCCCCTGATAGAGACACCATTAAATCACAGACGGCTATGTGCCGGATGATAGCTACGATACAACTGTGAAGTTTAAAGGCCTTATATCGGATTGATGCTACAAGAATGGTAGTGTCTCCGATTAAGGATGAGATGAGGACGAAAAGCATGTACCCCACCCAAGTGTATCTTTCAGCTTCCTTCTGAATTCCAAACTCTGTTTTATTGGAAAATTCGTGAGAATTCATTGCACCTTGTACTTGAATGTAAATAGGGTAAATTAATTTTACCAAAACCCATAATCATGGGTAGAGTGGACCGCTGCCAGTGTCTCTCTTTCCCAAACAAAAGGAAATGATATTAATTTGATTGACCGTTCTCAAATGCAAAATGATACCGAGAATGAAATCGGTCGCTCGCTTTTCCCATTCATTCACGGCTTACGAATTGTATAAATAAGTTTCGATTGATTACATCAATCAGATGCTGTAAAAATCTCTTTGGGCTGCGTTCGGGTCGATACCTAGTATTTCGGGGTAAGGGACAAGGGTGGTAGTTATAACTTATTGAATAAGCTGAAGTTTATTGAATCTTTATTGCCGAGTACAGCTGCCTTTGGGCAGTTCTTCTTAATCTATTACAATTGTAAATGAATGGGAAAAGCGAGCGACCGATTTCATTCTCGGTATCATTTTGCATTTGAGAACGGTCAATCAAATTAATATCATTTCCTTTTGTTTGGGAAAGAGAGACACTGGCAGCGGTCCACTCTACCCATGATTATGGGTTTTGGTAAAATATCATCTCTTTTTGATTATAATGTCAGGGTACTTTATAAAGTCGAAATATAAACTGATATCTTCATTAATAAGGAGGAAGTTTCAACGATTTCGAAATTTTTCCTTTAAAAACATTTCCTTGTGTTTAGGGAAGCATATTGGTCGATCACTGACTGAATATGCCACTTAATACTCATTCAAGTTGGCATTAAATTCATATATAATGATATTAAACTGTCGTGGCAAAGCAGAGTTTGTTGGAAATCACGAATGAGCAAAATTCTCACCTTTCGCACGTGCAAACTTTGAGCGGACGTTGCGTGCGCATCCAATATTGAATCGCCGTAAATTTTTGCATGCAATTGTTTTATATATAGTTTGATAAGCATGCAAAGTTTCAAAGTATTTCAAGAAGAACTGTAATCACAACGGCACTCTAAAGTTGACAGAAAATGACGAAAACAGCAATTTTCAGTGATTTTAGCAATTTTCTTTCAATTTGGGCGTGTCCCCACGTGTGCAACTTTTCGATTTTCAACTTTAAAACTAGCCTAATGCACAATTTATACCTATAGGAAGCAGAACTGAGCTCCACAACTCAAGGCATGGCCCAACACCAGAGAATACTAAATCGCAAAATTGACGTTTTTATAAAATAATTCTTCAAAAAAGCACAAACTTCAATGACGAATATCTTTATGAAGGAGCAAGCTAGAAAAACTTTCCGGTAGATTTTCAGAATGCTTGAACAATTATCTAAGATGAAAATTTCCTCAGATTTTGAATAAAATTACTCCTTAATGGTGTAAAATTAATTTTGAAAATTATTACTTTGTCAAAAATCAAGTTTTAAAAACGGTTAACTTGATGACGTCATCAAGGGGTGTTTATGACGTCAAATAATTTTTTTATACAATGTAAACTAAAGTGTAAACAATTATTTGCAAGACCTGTGGTCGGAAATGGCTGTATCTTTTATACTTTTGAATCTATGGACACTTAAATACAGGTTACAATTGACTGGCAAAGCGTCTATCCCTGAATATATATATATATGTATGTATATATGTATCACGACAATCTATCGTAAAACAGGGGTTCTAGAAAACCCATTTCCCGATGCTCCTGAAACCTGAAACTTTTTTTGCAGTCGCTTTGGTCAACGTCTAGACGCCCTGAAAAATTTCAGATCTCTAACTCAATTTTAACATGGTTTTTAAGGCACCTGAATATGGCGATTTTGGGTTTTTTACCGAATTTCGTATAACAGTGCTGGCGAGTATTTTATGCAAATTTCTTAAAAATCTCAACATAACTATTTTTATTCCTGTCATCTTTGACATCAAATTAGAATGTTTTGAACTAAAAATAAATCTGCTGAACGACTTCCGATTAGTCTTAATGCCTGGAAAACTCCTGCCGGGGGCGGCGGCCTTCGGCCGCCGCCTCCGGCCGGAGTGCACGCTTCGCGTGCACGAAAGAGGCTTCCAACGTGTACCAAAGGGGGTATAATAGTAAAGGGGGTACAATAGTAAAGGGGGTACATAGTATACCCCCAATAAAGACACCGCTCGTGCTTGCCAGCACTGTGATATTACATTTTGGTGAATTTGTAAAGTCTTGCTCCGTTCAAACGGCGTAGAGACTTGCTAAATATTTACGAATAGACCCAAAAAAATGTATTTCGATTCCGGCTCTCACTATCATATCAACAATATTATCGGAATGTTAATTGCCGATGTTAAAGCAGCTGTCATATTCAAACTAAAATTAAAAATGCACGCAATACAATTCTGATCACAGAATTTGTGATTGTTATAAGCATATTCGTATGAACATACTTAAGGGGGCATACACCAAACCTGTCCAGACCAAATGACCTCATAGGTAGTTCAGTGACCTTCTAGCGCACTGTTTCCACACCAAAAAAAATTATTTTGAGAATAATATCTATTTTTGTAATCGAACATTTCCTGGTTAAGAGTGCAATTTTCGGAAAAAATAATTTTTTTGTTGAGACGCTATAAGTTAATCATTTCTTGCGGTATCGGATTAAAATTTTGCTCACCGTTTATTCACATCTATTTCAAGGTGTGTGTAAAATCTTGATATCGTATCTAAAAAGGCTGGTGTGTTATAAATTTTTTAAGTCAAAAAGCTAAAATTGTCCTTTTCAGGCTTATTTTAACAAATAGCCAGTCAGGGAAGATCGGATTGATTTGATGCTAGACATTAAATTGTTCTCTGAATTCTGGCGCAGTTTTTGATGCCCTCAAAAATGTTTTTCGTTTCGACTGATTTTTCTTTGAAGTTATGGGAGAAATGTGATTTTTTGGCTTTGCAGATAAAAAATCACATTTTCTCCCATAACTTTAAAGGGAAGCATTTTAGGGTGTTTTGTTGTTCATAACTCATATATAAATGTGCTAGTTGCGGTTATTTTGCATCCTTCAAAAAGTCACTAGCACATTCCTATCAAAATTTTAGAAAAATCAGTAAATATTATTGACCAAAACCCATACTTTTAAAAAATAATTTTTTTGGTGTGTAAACGGTGCGCTAGAAGGTCACTGAACTGCCTATGAGGTCATTTGGTCTGGACGGCACAAACCACCGTTTTGGTGTATGCCCCCTTAAATAAAGAGTGAGCTTATGATATGGAG